ATTACTCGAAGAGTCGGCTCGTAGTGTTCTATTGGAAGAACAGCTTCCGCACCATAAGTTAGGAGGAATGGAGTTTCTCCAGTCGCCCCTTTTTCAGTCGTCCTAATGGCCCAGAGAACATGTGGTAATTCATCCGCCCATAGGCCGCCTGCTCGTTCAATCTTTTTCTTGAGACCGTCTGAGATGATTTTATTAAAGGCTTCTACCTGGCCGTTTGCTTGTGGACGACCGACAGATGCAAAGTAGTGTGCAATTCCTTGGTCACCCAGGACTCTCAGAGCAGCCGTCCCAACTTTGACTATTCGGTCAGGACGCGAGTCGTCTAAGATCAGGTCCGTATGCTCACCAGCCGGCTGAGGGCGGAATTCATCCGACCGCTCCTCTGCCAATGATTGCTATTTTCTATCTTTTCTTGCGGCCCCTGCCTGGGATGCCTTTCTCTTCTTGCCGCATGCTTTTTAAACAGGCGCACTTCTCTTGACATTGTCAAGGTCTATTTTTCCACCACTCGACCCAGTGGCCATAACAGTGGGCTTGACATCCGAGAGATAGCACTCTCGGGCCATCCTCTGATCTCCCCTTAGGGACCCGACTGTTCCATTATCCCTCTCAAACTTGAGCAACATAAGAGATGGGATTATAACAGCCTTGGAATTATTCAGGGTTGGTCGTCCCAGAATCATGTTGTAGGCCGAGAGTTCTTCTACTACCAGGAACCGGACTACCATGTGTCATCCTTCCCCTTTTTCGCCCAGGAGGATGGGTAAATCCACTCGTCCCACTGGGTGGACGGCTCCTCCTCCAAACCCTACTAAAGGGTGGGATGCCGGATGTATGCAATCAGTCTGATATTTTAGTTTCGACAGACATTTGCTACTGATGAGATCTGAGGAGCTTCCGGTATCTATGAGGATTCGGCCAACTCTCTGGTTGGCCACTTTACATTCAATAACGATAGGGTCGTCATGCGGCCCTCTTACCCCTCCTAGATCTTCTTCAGTGATGACAATCTCAGGAAATGAATATTTGGAGGGCCGTTCTTGGTAAACGGAATTTACATCTAACCGTCTGATATTGTCTTTGTTGCCCCTAATAGTGGGGCCGCCTCCTGAGAAGCCGCCTGCAATGGTGTAGACGACTGCATCATCTGTATCGGAGCTGTCGGCCTTTTGATTCTTTTTGGCCGACTTCTTTTTTGAGGAAGTGTTCCCCGTAGATTTCCTAACATAAGTGTCAATATCACCTTGCTCAGCCAGGCGGTCCAGATACCGCATGAGACTGATGCATTCATTGGTGTGATGACCAACATCTTCATGATAATCACAGAATTTTTCTTGGTTCCGACTGTTTGCAGAACCCTTCATGGGGACCGGCTTCTCAATTGAGATCTGTCCCTTGATTTCCTTTAGGATAAACTGGTTATCCTTGTTAAACGCATACTTTGGGGAGTATGGCTTGAATTCTTTTTTCTTTTTCTGGGCCGGCTGTTTAGAGGAACCAGCCGCCCAGACCTCTTTTCCCTTCTCGTCTTTGTTTGACGACTACTTCTGTCGTCCTTCTCTTTTGTCTGACTGTTTTACCGTACCACAAAGATCAGTCGCCTGTATATAGGCTTCCGCTTCAATCAAGGCCTCTTGAAGAGTCGCCACCCTCTTTCGGACCAAATCAAATTTGAAGGTCGACCCGTTTTTGAGACCTATGAAAAAGTCAGTATAGGCTACTTCATCCGGTAACCCTTGAATCTGTATTCTCATCAGGTTAAACCGCCTGATGTAAGAACGAAGCCCCTCCTTCTCGCCTTGCTGAATTGTTCCTAAATCAAGGGTCGTCTTCTTCGCAGGGATGTTCATGGCGAAGTTGGAGGTGAATAAGTAAGCAAGCGTCCTGAAGTTATTTACACAACCAGTCGGCAGGTTGCCGAACCATTGTTGTGCGATTCCTTTGAGAGTCGCTGGGAAACACTTGCACCAAGTGGGATCATCCAACCCTTGAAGGTACATCAAGTTGGTGAATGCCATCAGATGGTCTTCTGGGTTAGTAGTGTCGTCATAGGCGCCTACTAATACATTTTTCACTTTGGCCGGCTGAGCGGCTTCAGTAATTTCCTTGGAGAAGGCCGACGACTGTTCACCAAGTCTAAGCAACCGTAGCTGCCAGTCCATAGGTTGGACATTTTTTGCTGCATGTCAACCAAACGGAGGTGGCTGTAAAAAATACTGTTGTTGCTGTACAAACGGTTAGTTTGGTACCGCCTGGTCGCTATGAAAGCCGGACTGACGGGAGGTGCCGCCTGACTGACTCTCATGATACGACTGAGTATGCCTCATCAAGGTATTTTGCAGACTGTCTTGGAAGTTTGAAGTAGAGGCCGACTCTGACAATCGGTCACTCTTCTTCTGCTCTAGCAGTAGCCGAACGTCTGTGTATGTTTTCCTCGACCCGTCCGCCTGAATATGACGAACAGGTTTCCTATTTCCTGGGGTAGGAAAACAGTATTTTGTGAAATCAAGGGCAGTCGGCTCCCGCTTCCTAGATTTAGGATGAGGAGTCGCCTCTCGCCCTTGAACTGGCTTCCTCTTCTGTGAAGTGGAGGGTTTCTTAGCCGACTGCTCCTTGTCCAGAGCAGGCGGCTTCTTGTTGATCAACTCTTGAATTTCTCCCTTGAAGTCCCTCATGAAGGTCATGAGATCACTCCTTGTGATGGGAGCAGACCCATCAGTCGGCTGCTGCCGAACAGGCGGTGCGCCTGCTGGCTCATTTCCAGTTTGAAGATGTTCCCGTTCCCTCCTTTAGGTATGACGGGTACGTCGGGCCCTTAGGGTCCCCGTCTGAAGCTGTGTGAGCTTCAACTTCAAATTCATTCTCAGTATCGTGGTCCGACTGAACTTGAGGGTCGTCTAGGGAACGCCTCTCTTCAGGAGTCGGTACAGACGTGGATGCCATCTCAGAAGTACTCTCCCCACAGACGGCGCCAAATTTTTCGGGGTTTTCTGATGTCTTGCGAAGAGTTACAATTCCGAGACTGGAACCGGACGCCTGTACCTGCAAAACAAACGTATGCTCCGGATGGTTGGAGATCCGCCTCCGACGGTCAAGTTAGTACTTGATTAAGGAGTAATTAATGCGGAAATTAAAGTGATTGGGTCTCTCTAGGTGAGAGTGTTTAATGTGTGTAATCAACTTCTTTAGCGTGTTCAGCCTGTAATCTCCCTTAATGAGGATTAAGGGAGGTATTTATAACCTCGGGAAACGTACCAATCTAGGTTTAGGTTAACCTTGGGCTGATTGGGCTTCCCTCGGAAGTTGGGCCTAGGTGACCGGTTATCCCAGGTGTCATGGGAAGGACACGTGTCGTGTCGTGTCGTAATTAGTCCATGGTGGACGGATCATTGCTTGACACGTGTCAGGCTCCTATTGGCCCATGTGACGGACACATGGCGGAACCTGATTGGTCCACTTGTCAGATGGTGATTGGTGGGGAAAAATCCCCTAATCACTTGTAATCAATATTGGAGCATTCTATAGGATTTTTGGTGGTTCACCATTGAAGGTTCAAAAACCCATTTTCTTATTTCAATACAAAGTTGAAGCTTTGTAAGCTCTTTCTATCTTAATCTCTTTTATTTTGGTTTATTTACATATTTCAAGTATTCTTGATAGTTATGTTTATGATTTTGATTATGGCTAATATTTTGGGTATTGTTGATATGAGCAGTTTCTCTCTCCTAGGCTAGACTTTTAGCTAGGGGAAGGGGAATGGATGAATTGGTTGCTATTTGATTAAATACTTGATTTTTGGGGATTTAAACCCTTGTTGTATTAACTTATGCTTATTGTTATATGGTTGATGTTGTGCACCATTGACTATATTATTACATGTCCTAATTGATACGCGGGAGTGATCATGTTAGGATAAATCATAGTTTATACATTGCTTAATCAATTGCATGGGAATGAGTTGTGTTAAGTAGGATCTTTGATCCCTTGTTTGTGAATCCTTGATTATCTATGTGTTTAGCTCTTAATCCCCAAGTTTGACGTTCCCCGATCCCCCTAGCGTTTTTAATCTCATAGTTTCCAATACTTGTTAGTCTTTGTTAATTGTTAGAGTAATTTTGTTAGCCTTAGTTTATTCATTGTCTTGTTTTCCGTCTCTCTTATTCATATACACCCTTTATTTTATCCTCTACTGTTAGCGCTTAGCTTTGCAATCTCCCGTTTCTCCGTGGATCTCGACCCTTGCTTGCCTCTATACTCATTTAGGTAAACTAGGATTAATTTGATAGGAAGGTGTATTGACGACGACATTTCATTCCTCATCAAGATGCGATGCTTCTATTGTGTTAGGCAAGGCCACTACAAGAGGGAATGCAAGCTCTTCTGAAAGAATGAGGAGGAGAGGAATGTGGCATCTGCCTCAGGTATCTTCATTAACACTTGTGTATAAAGCTATTCATAGGTATTGGATACCATGTGTAACTCACTTTATGTTTCCTTTTCAGGAACCAAGTGAGAGGGCATCACAAGTGAGAGGGTATTGGATACCACGTGTATTGACAAGCAGATGTCAAAGATGGTCTTTTGGTCGTGCTTGTAGGGACATTTATTTTGTCTATGGCTTGTAATTAAACAATGGTTGTTTCTCATGCTTTTGAACATAGTCTTGATCTATGGTGTTGGACACCAAGTTATTTTGATCACAAGACTTAATCAATGGTTGGTTTTTTGAAATGTCTTGTGTATATGTTCTATACACTAGTGAAAAAATGACAAAGGCACCCCACCTTTGGCACCAGTTTTTGGAAACTGGTGGTTAAAAAAACGGGCGGGATTGGAAAACAAGCTTTTGGCACCGGTTCCAGCCAAACCGGTGGCAAATTATCTTTTTGGCACTGGTTCAAACCAGTGCCAAATAAAAAAGATATTTTTTTTGTAAAAAAAAAAGGGAAAAAGGGATTTGGCACCGGTTCGGTTCAAACCGGTTCTAAATCTATTTTTTTTTAAAAAAACCAGATATACTCTTTCTTTCTCTTGCTTTCATTTCCACGATCTTTCCTCCTATCTCATCTGATCTGCCTCTCTCTCTCTCCTCCATTGAAGCATACTCGAATTTCTCCATTGAAGAGGCTTCTGAGCTTTCTCTAAGGACTTTCCTCAAACTCCTTCTCTCTCCTTCTCCATAACCGCCACTTTCCCTTTCCTTTCTTCTCTTCAATATCCTTCTACTTCTCTCTTTCTACAATATTGGAGGTTATGGTTTCAGGGTTCGTCTATTTTGAATCAAATCGATGTGCGTGCATCTTCAACAACAACGAATTCGAATCAATTTCGAACCAAAAATCAGAAATTCGAGGTTAGGGTTTCTTGGTTATTTAGCTTTGCGTTATATTTTGTTCTTTTGGTCCAATTATTCATTTTGAGTTTTTTTTGGTGTATTTTTTTGTTTGAGTTATTTTAGTTGAAAACCCTATTGATTTTGGTGTTGTTTGTATGTTCGGTTATTTTATCGGATCTGCTCAAATCTTTGTCGTGATTGAGCTTTTTAGTTGATCTAGACTTTGATTGATGTGCTTTGTTATAGATTTGATTGGAAATTTTGTATAATTGAGTCGATATAATTGAGTGAAGTTGAGTTTGGTTTATTCACTGGAATATGCGATTTTTAGGGTTGCTAATTATGCTTGGTTATTGATTTTTATTAGTAGTTAAGTTAAGTTGAGTTGCTCCTATTTTCTAAATCGCAACATTCATGTTGATGAGTTTATTAGCTCAAAAAGAGAACAGTTGGGTTATCCGACCAAATTAGAGAACCTTCAAGTAGAGATATATTGGCTTCACAAATTCATGGGTTGGCTTAACTTTTGGAAGATAATATCACCTTGCACTTAATGCTCAGCATCACTCTTATAACGCTGAAGCTCTTTGTTTGTTTAGTTCCCTGTATCAAATACTTGTGAGTTGTGACTGGCAATCCCTCAACTTCTGGCAGCATTTCTACCTAACCTGATATGTCAGGTGAACTAAGTAACATTGTCTTGGTTGCTTGCCCTAGTTTATATGTGTGCCTATTTAAAGCAGTAAGATGAAAGGAATGGTGTCCTTCCAACAAGGGTATTCTTCCGATAAAGGGTTCAGAATTATTACGGAGCTAATTCTTCAGTAAGGTCAAGTGATCGGAATGCCTAGGTGAAGGCCGCTTCCGATCAGTAATATCAATGTATAATTGATGTTACAGCTTAATCTTAACTGAACCCTTCGGGTCGAACCCAATCGAATCACCGATCCGAGACGACGAATTAATTTGAAAGGATTTAATGAGTCGACAGAGTTTTATGAATACAGACGTCGGATATCGAGCCTAGGGCGTCGAGACCGAGCGTCGCAAAATCACAAAGCGACAAGTATGAACATAGCCCTAGCATCGCATTGGCATAGCCATGTTGATTCTAGGCTAGTTCAAGCTAGCATGCACCTAGCATGGCTAGGCGCAAGCCTAGGCACACTAAGTGTGCTAAGCGCACCATCACAGCCCATCGCAGCCTATACAAAATCACTAAGTGCACCATGCGTTCCCTAGGATGGCTGGGCACCATCGCAAGCCAAAGAGCATCACTAGGCACACCATGCGTGCCCTAGGATGGCAGGGCACCATCGCAGCCTAGGCAGCATCTCTAGGCGCACCATGCGTTCCCTAGGATGGCCGGGTGCCGTCGCGGCCCTAACACAATGCTGGGCGCATGGTAGGACCACACGCACCAAGCACAGCTAGTGCTAGGCACTAGCGCATACGTGGTGCATGGTGCTTGGCCGAGGCTTATGCATGCATAGTGCATGGTGCATGGCCGAGGCTGGTGCGTGTGGATGTGCAAGTGTATGCGAGGGAGAGCTAGCAAGCAGCGTCAAGCCCAACATGCGTGGCTCGCTAGCAGCACGCATGCTAGGCATTGCGAGCATGGGGCTGGATGCGTGGGTGCGCGTAGTGTGGGTGTGTGTGAGTGTGCGAGGCAGTGGGTAGGAGTGCTAGGGCCTGCACCAGCACGCACTAGCGCCTAGCACCAGCACGCACCAGCGCCTAGCACCAGCGCATAGCACCAGCACGCACCAGCGCCACCACACAGCACCAGCCCAGCACCAGCTCGCACTGGTTGGCTGGGGTGCTCGGCAGCAAGGCAGTGCTAGCTGGCAGCCAGCTAGCCCTCCTTGACCCGGTTTTGTGCATAGGGTGTGGGGACCAAATCAAGGCCTTAGGGATCAAGGTAATGGTTCCCCCCAAGCCTTGTTCCTCACTTGGCTTTATCTATTATTGTGCCATGTGTCGATTTGTGATTGAATTGATTAATCATTTAATTTTTGGAATTAAATAATTATCATTTTACCAACTTTCCCACATTGATGAGAGATTGGAAATCAAGGGATCATTTCCCTATAAATACCAAGCTTGGGTATTTGGGAATGAACAACCTTGAGTGGAATTAAAAAGGCAACTCTAATTAAGAGTAAACCTTTAATTCGTAAAACTCATAATTATTTTGTCCGGGTCTTGAATAACCTTCAAGACTTAGGACGCTCGGGTCGGGTCGAGGGTACGATTCGTCGGAGATCTCGTGTTTTCGGGATTTTGAAGTAAGAGCTCTTTGGGAGCGAAGCACGCGACAAAGGTATAATTCTTGTTCTTAATCTTGTCTGATTAAGTTTAATATGCTTGTTAATTGTTTTAATTAAGGGGCAAGTCTTGGTGGGTTTCCTTCCGCGTAATGTTGGTCACTACGAAACCCTACATAAGATAGGTTTTTATGGCTTAGTATGTATGTTTGCTGGAGTGCTTTCTGTTATATGACCTATCAGTTGATTTAGTGAAGTTTACATTCTATTTGATAGCTCAATGGTGTTACGGAGTAATTGGATTAACTAGAATGCTGGAAGCAAGCAATACGAAGTATGAATGAACTTTTTGTTCTTATTATTTTCGTTCTTCCCCATTTGCAGGTAACACAATCTGCACTTGACAAAGCAAACTTAACTGCTAAAGATCTTTTTACAGTAACAATTACTATTGGTCCTAGATTAAGTTTTTGCTTGTGTGGTAATCTATTTGGTTGACTATATGTGTCTTGTTTTATTTACAAAATAGAAAAATAGCTCACAGTTCTTATAAATTTGAGCAATGGGCATAGAGGCCACGTGTGTTAATCAAAAGCTTTGGAATATGGTTGAGCAGATTAGGAAAGGAAGTGATGACAAAAATCTGTCAATGTAAAATTCTTACTTTTCTTTTTCTTCCAAAACAACAAATATTGGTTTAAACATGAAAATAAATTGTGAATCTCCTAAATTACTCTTTGTTTTCTTTGAAAGTCTATAGCAGTTCATCATTAGTTAACCAAACTAAGGAGCCATTTCCAGTCTAACCGATTAAAACAAACTATAAACCATAACCTCTCTCTTTCCTTAATTTCCATTTTTTAGCATCTTTAAAAACCAAACAAGATGTTAGTTATTAGAATAAGTCATCACTTAATTTGTTTCATAGTTGCTGTGTAGCAGTTTTGTATTATTTTCTTCATATTATATTTCCTAACATTTTTAATCATTTTACTTTGGAAGAAATAACAAGATTATATGTTTTGTTTAATCCAATGTCCTTCTCATATCCATTAAATTTGTTTTGGAAAATAGTTTGGGAATTCGGTTTAATGGAATGTTGTTATTGGGAAATGATTTGCAGTTCAACAGATCCTGTAATCACTCTGTTCTTCCTGATTGCCTGCAACCTTCATCTATGTTACATTTTGTTTCTAGTGTAGCTGCTGTTTCATTTAATCTGATTTTATAATTAGTTTTTGATTAGTTTAAATTTCTTTTTTCCTTGATGCGCTTTATTGAGTTCTCAAAGATAATATACATCTTAGAACTTCTATTTGATCATATTTATCGTCTTACGAAATATTTGTTTCAACAACAAGGGGATCATGTGGCTCTTTTGTCTGCATTTTCAGAAATGGGACTCAAGTTGCGCATGGACTTACCTGAGCAGGCAATGGAAGTGACAACAGTATTCTTTCGTACCTCAACTCCCGCAAGTGAAGCTGTTGTGAGTGCCCAGTTTGGTGTCAAGGTCACTGTTTTTTAATCTAATCTATACTAATTTCATGTTCTCTGTCCAGGAAACATTGAAGAATTTCTTAGAAGAAAGAGCAAAAAAAATTAAAGCCTTACAAGAAAAAATGAAGCTTGATGACAAAGAAGCTAAATAATTTAGTCCTGTAAGTACACTTGGTTTCAATGAATGATGCTATGATTGCTACACTATTTCTCCTGTCATATATGTTTGTAAACATTGTAATGGTTGCTTTTAGGTTGATGCCTTTCCTGGGGATATAGTGATTTTTGCACGGGTGCTAAATCTTTTGAGAGGTTAGGGCGTTAATGCTTTATAGATTTTTTTAATTCACCTTCAATAAACAATGTCTTGACTTTTGAGGTTAATACACATTGCTTGATATTGCTGATTTTAATCAAAAGTTCAATGGAATCTGAACAAGATAGTTATAGGTTTGTTGACATTTGATATACATGTTTACATGCGTCTATTAATATGTCCTGGGTGGTGGTTCTGAAAAAGAGAGTTAGCTAGTGTCATAATCTTCAATTTCTATACTTAATATACGAATTGTTCATACGCAATCTATCAAGTGCCTAATTTCAAATCTTCACTGGTATTGGATCTTATCGCTAGTGATTTAGAGCTATATTTGATCTCAAGATTTAGCTGAGAAGTTGCTTGAGCTAGCTCAAATTATTATATTAGTTTTAGACATGTAGTATTGTATTGACATTTTTTCCATTCTTTGGGCATGTACTAGTATCTTACAGTGAGAAAAGCATCATGCTATGGACTATTTGAATCAAGCTAATGGAATTCGGTTTAATGGAAGGCTGTTATTTGGGAATTGAGCTATTTGAATCAAGCTAATGGGATTATGTGGAAATTTATGCATGACAAGGTGATGCTTGGTTCTTTTAGTTTTAATTTGATTGCTTGATTTATCAGGAAGTTGAGGGGAACTATAACCCAGTGTAATTACTTTGGTTAGCTGGGTAATGCATAAGCTGAAGTTAAAGTTCTATGACACCCTATGATTTATTTTGATGGGAGTTGTTATTGAAATAGTCACAATTTGGGAAAAAAACAGTCCAATAGCAAGTCTGTTTTGTCTAAATTCAAGAGGCAAATATTGTTGGGAAAATTTTGGATAATATATCTGGGAACTTTGACAGTATATGTTTCAACAGTATATTAAAACGTTTGAAGGTATATATTTATTAGACCCTAGATAGGAATTAAGATGTTGTGCTGAAATTCTATGTTTTTAATTCTGCCTATAATTACATTCCTCCTGCCTTACTTTCAAGTTTGCTCTCTGCAAGATGAATTAGCATAGAAAACAGACACATCTGCATCACCACCAAGAACAAGCCTAGCAACACATCAGCTCAGCATCACAGCTCCTTAGAAAACCAGCAACATGGCTGCAAAAGGAAAACAGACCGCAGCACAGTAGTATCAACACAGCAAACTTCTCAACAAACCAAAACAAGATCCAAGTGTACTAGTCAGCATTCAACTGAAATCTCAAGTGTTTTTTTTTTTTTTTTTTTAGTTTTTTAAAGTGTAATATTACAAGTTATTGAAGAAAATATATGTGTTTTATGTATATTATGATTATATATAAGTATTTGGTAAAATTTAAGTGAAAAAAAAGCAAAAAAATTTATTTTTTATTTTTTATTTTTTTAAGGCATTTTTGGCACCGGTTTTGGAAAAGAACAAGTGCCAAAAGTTTTTTATTAAATTTTTTTGGGTACTTTTGGCACCGGTTCTTAGTCAAAACCGGTGCCTATTGTATTGAAATAAAAAAAAAAGCGCGCCATGGGTAATTGGCACCGGTTAATCGATGCCAGAGAGGGTATTTGGAACCGGTTAACCGGTGCCAAATCTTTATATAGCCACCGGTTTGAACCGCTGCCAAATCTTCAGAGATTTGACATCCCTCAAATAGCCAACAGTTCATAACCGGTGCCAAATAGGGGGTTTGAACCGGTGCCTATTTGCCTTTTTCGCCAAGTGATAGAATTGCATATGTTTAGACAAATTAATGATACCGCGAAAAGGGCTAAGACCATCGAGTCGAATTAACATTAACATCAAACACATCAAGAAACTTCTTCAAGAAGGTGTTCTTGACTCATTCGACTTGGAGTTGTTTGAAAATTACGAAGGATGTCTATTAGGTAAGATGATAGAGCAGCCATTTTCCAAGTTAGGAGAAAGAGCAAGTGACATTGGGTCTAATAAATACGGATGTATGTGGAACAATGAGCATACCCGCAAGGCATGGTTATCGATATTTCATTACCTTCACCAATGACTATAGTAGATATGGTTATGTCTACCTTATGTCGAACAAATCCAAATCTTTTGAGAAATTTAAAGAGTTTCAGAGTGAGGTTGAAAATCAACTTGGCTAGAAAATAAAAGCACTTCAATCGGATCGAGGTGCCGAGTATTTGAGCCATGAATTTGACGATCACTTGAAAGAAAATGGTATTCTTTAAAAGTTGACACCTCCCAGAACTCCACAATGGAACGGAGTATCCGAACGGAGGAATCAAATCTTGTTAGACATGGTTCGACTAATGATGGGTCTTAGTGAACTTCGTATCTCTTTTTGGGGACACGCACTTCTAATTGCGGCACTAACACTGAACCGTGCTCCGTCAAAAGCTGTCGAAAAGACTCCATATGAATTATGGATAAAGAAACTTCCGAGGTTGTCTTTTCATAGGATTTGGGGTTGCGAAGCATATGTCAAGAGATTAATTTCTGACAAACTTCACCCAAAATAAGACAAGTGTTTCTTTGTGGGCTACTCAAAATAAACCAAGGGGTATTACTTCTACAACAAATTCGAGAACAAAATGTTTGTTTCTCTTGATGGTGTCTTTTTGGAGAAGGAACACCTTTCCAAAATGACAATTGGGAGGAAAATCGAACTCGACGAAGTTCGTGAGGAAGAGCAATAAAGTCAACATGAAAAACTGACAATTAAAGTGCTTTAGAAGCAGCTGGCTACATTGGTCAGAGTCAAACCGACAATGCAAATGCTCAACCTATTACCCTGCATAGGTCGCAACGGCCAAGATCTCAACAAGATAGATACTTTAGTATTGTCTTCACCGAAGATCAAGACATCCTAGTTATGGATGGAGAAGTGTCCATTGTGCCGAGAGGTAATCATGAATGCCCTTACTAAGTTATTTATGTTATCTCGTTCAATCTTTATTTCTTTCATTCCTATATCCCAACAAATTTGACCTAAACTAAGGCAACTAACCAATTTTGATATTCCAGGAGAACTAAGATGGCACAAGAGATTGTAAAGCTGAAGGAAGAAGAAGAAATGCTAAAACAGAATATTTTGAGGTGCTGCTTACTATTTTTTACCTTTAATATTAGATTTCATTTTTGTTAAAGATCTCCTCCATGTTATCATCACCTCAGCTTTTGATGCTTGGTTTTTAGCAGTGAATGCCCTAAAACTATGTCCCCTGAAAGAGTTGCCAAAAGATTTGATGAAGTTGATTAACTTGAGGATATTGGACATAATGGATTGTTATGAACTAAGTACTATGCCAAAGGGCTTGAGTAAGTTGACTTACCTTCGCGTGCTGAGTATGTTTGTAGTGGATTTATCAAAGGCAAGTCAGAGGCAATGGTTTGATCAACTTGGGGAGCTAAAAAGACTTAACAGCCTGAAAGGTGATCTTTATGTCAGAATCAGATCTTTGTACGTTGTTGAGGAAGTTTTACATGAAAAATTCTTCCTCAAGTTTAGGCTGAAGACCTCTTTGTAATTGCAAAATCTGGCTGCCCTCAATTATATCTCATATTTTGGCCTAGGCAAGTGTCTAGTTCAGGCTATGGCCATGAGGAAGCTTATTATTGACTTGGATAATTATTGCACATTTTCCCTCTGTTTGGCTGTTGCTAAAAATAGACCATGTTGATCTCATTTTTGGCGTTTGTTTATGGCTAATGCCTTGTCTTTTAAAATTTTCTGCAGTCTTTTCTAAAATCGAGAAAAGTAGAAAGAAGAGTGCAGGATGGATTTCCGCTTATGTTTGTCTGCATGGTAGCATTCATCAGTCTTATCGCTGGGTATGGCTTTCATCTCTAAGAACAACCAGTTTTTTAAGCCTGAGCATGAACCACATCCTTAAGCCTCTTCCGCTCTTCAAATATAAAGAATAGTTGAGGCTCTCTTTGTCAGCCTAGTTTGCAGAGACAGGGTAATGTGAGAAGCTAGTTGTGGCATCCATCAGGTATTGTGTATACGTTAGAATCAGTTGATATTATTAGATAAACAATCTTCAGCCTAAAACTTCCTGTTAGTTCTCTGTTACATCTGAAAAGCCGAAGTTTTTTTTTTTCATGTAAAAGTTATAATTTCTATCAGATTGTATGTTATTTATTTTTTTGACGAAAATTGTAATATTAAAGCCTTTTATAATGAAAATATGTTACTTTATATATATGTTAGTGTTTATGTATCAATTTAAGTGAAAAAGATGAAATTTTTTTTTTTATATATTTTTTATTTTTTTAGGGCACTTTTGGCACCGGTTCAAAGCAAGAACCGGTGCGAAAAGTGAGGTTTTTTACACCGGTTTTCACCCAGAACCGGTGCGAAAAGTCCTTTCTCCCACCGGTTTTGAACCGATGCGAAATCTGTGGGGTTTTAGCACCCTCCAAATCTAACCCGGTTCAAAACCGGTGGAAAAGGGGGGGGGGGGTTGAACCGGTGGGGAATTTGTTTTTTCGCCTAGTAAAACAAGCTATGACGAGCCCCGACTCTACAAATTGGCAAGAGGCCATGAAATCAGAGATGGACTCCATGTCTGAAAATCAAGTCTGGGACTTGATTAATTTGCCTGAAGGTTACACACCTATCGGTTGCAAATGGATTTTTAAATTGAGAACAGAAAAAGATGGAAATGGTATCTATATACAAAGCTAGACTAGTGGTAAAAGGTTACAGGCAAATTCACGGAGTTGATTATGATGAAACCTTTTCGCTAGTTGCAATGCTTAAGTCCGTCCGGATCATCCTAGCGATTGCTGCATATTACGATTATGAAATATGGCAAATGGATGTCAAAACCGCCTTCCTTAATGGGATTTTGGATGAAACTGTGTATATGACACAGCAGGAAGGTTTTGTTGATCCAAGCAATGCCAGGAAGGTATGAAATCTTAAGAAGTCCATTTATTGACTAAAGCAAACAAGCAGAAGTTGGAATCTGCGATTCGATGAAGCTATTAGTAAGTTTGGTTTTATCAAGAATCCAAATGAGTCTTGTGTTTACAAGAAGGTTAGTGGGAGTGACATCGCATTCCTAGTCTTATATGTCGATGACATATTACTCTTTGGAAACAACACTAAACTGTTAGAGTCTGTAAAGGGCTGGCTTGGAAAGTGCTTTTCATTAAAGGACTTCGGAGAGGCACAATACATATTGGGCATCAAGATCTATAGGGATAGATCTAAGAGGATGATTGGATTGAGCAAAAGTACTTATATAGATAAGGTACTGGCACGATTCAACATGGAAGGGGCCAAGAGAGGTCACCTACCCATGTCCCATGGCATAACTCTCAACAAGAAAAAGTGTCCACAGACACCTGATGAGCGAGAGAGGATGAGTCAGATTCCATATGTTTCGCTTATTGGATCGATCATGTATGCCATGATATGTACTAGGGCCAGATGTATCGTATGCCTTGAGTGCTATGAGCTAATACCAATCAGACCCAGGAGAGGCGCATTGGACTGCGGCCAAGAATATCCTAAGGTACCTAAAAAGGAAAAAGGATAAATTTCTGGTCTATGGTGGCTGTAATGATTTAGTTGTTGAAGGTTATAATTACGCGAGCTTCTAGACTGACAGGAAAGACTCCAAGCCGAAATGGAGGAGCGTTTAGTTGGAAGAGTGTTAAGCAAAGCACCACTTCAAATTCTACAACTGAAGCTAAATATTTGGCAGCTTCGGAAGCAGCTAAGGAGGCAGTTTGGATTCGTAAGTTCATCGGTCAACTTGGTGTGGCGATTTCACACACTAAGGGAATGCAAATCCGAGGGTGAAATCAGAATTTGTAAGAATGGAACGGACGACAATGTAGCCGATCCTCTGACTAAACCTTTGTCTCAAGTGAAGCACAACAAGCACGTTGAGGCAATGGGAATCAAGCATATTGGATATTGTCTTTGATTTCCTTGTATAGGTGTTTTCTTAAACTCGATGTCTTAATGTAAAACACTATGTTGAACCATTCAATTTTGGAGCAATTAAATTTTCTACAAATATATGATTACTCCATATCTATTTAATTGTGGTGTAGAATTAAATAATGAGTCCAATCGAGTTTTGAGAATATTTAAAACAGGGTATCAAGACCATGTCTTTGATAAAGAAACACCTGTTAAGTGAACATTGAATATTTTAATAAAAAATTATCCCTAATCGAGGTCATTTAAACGATGGACGATTAATGACCACTTGAAATTATTATGTAGTATGATTTATAGCATTGT